ACATCTTTAAGAACTTTGTCCCATTTGTTTAAATCCGGAGATAATTTTGAAAGCATTGGTCTTAGATCTCTATTGATGCGCTCAATCTGTCCATTCGCCCTAGGAAATCAAGAAACTCTTTAAACTCTGTTGACCTAAAATTTGAACCACGATCAGCTGCTATAAGACGATTTGGTCGACTGTAGTTAGAAAAATAGCCTCTTAAATGGTTTATGGTTTCGGACGCATTTGTACTTTTGCAAGGATAAAATTTAACGAATTTTTAAAAACCATCGATAACTTCGAAAACATATTTGAAACATTTACCAGTCTTTTCCAATGGCCCATAATGGTCACAATGAATGGTGTCAAAAGGAAGGTCGCCTTTAGGAATGGGATGTAGAACACCTTTAGCTTTCCCTGTTGTGGGAGAGAACATAATACATTTTAAGCAATTGCCAACATATTCCTTCACAACTGTCCTGACATTCGGGAACCAATAATTGCGATTGATGAGTTCACAAGATTTGTCGATACCAACATCGTTATGACAGGTTTTTACAACATTATTTCGAAGAGAGTATGGTACATAAAAGTTTACCATTAAATTTGCGATAGACTAGACCATGTCTTAGTTCATAGAAGGAACTTTTGCCATTTTGTAACTGACTTTTAATCTTAACAATTTCAGGATCTTTTTGTTGCATCACACATAAGTCTTTCTGCAAATCATCATCAACCAAACTTACATTTACAAGGAAACAACGACTTAGCGCATCAACGTGTCTCATGGACTCAGCTTTTCGATGCTCTAACGAATAATCGAATTCCTGGAAAATAAGGCTCCATCTTAAAATTCTGGTATTAACATCTTTCTTCTCCAAGGTCAATTTAAGACTGTTACAATCGGTGATGATTTTAAACGAAATTCCTTTTAAATACACTCTGAAGCGCTGTAGAGAATAAACAATGCAAAGGGCTTCTAATTGAAAACTCATCAATTGAATTTCTTTTGGAAAAATAAAATACGGGATGAAACATATTGTCAGCCTGTCTCTGCATAAGAATTGATGCAAAACCAATTGAGCTTGCATTACAATGTAATTGTGTTTCCAAGTGAGGAGAATAAATCGATAATAACGGAGCTGAAATTAGGACTTCTTTTATTTTGTCGAAACATTTGATTTCTTCGAGACCAAAAACAAATGGGGTCTGTTGCTTTTCCTTTTTCAGGAGATCATAAAGGGGTTTAGCTTCAATTGAGAACTTTGGGATAAATCTACGAAAGTACGATGATAAACCGAGAAAACTGTGGAGCATCTTAAAGTTTCGCGGAGTTGGAAAATCAGTGACTGAATTTATGTTTTCTTTGCGTGGACTTATTCCAAGATGATTAATAGAGTAACCAAGAAAAACGATTTCTTCTTCGACGATACTGCACTTATCCAACCGAAGAGAAAGTTTATTTTTGACAAGAACTTCAAACACTTCTTTTAGAATTTCGATGTTTTTCGCGATAGTTTCGGTGGCGATGACTATGTCGTCAATGTAGATCACGATTTTATGTTGATCTAATAGTCCCGAAAGGCAGAGTTAATATACCTCATAAAAACGGCAGGAGAGTTCTTTAAACCAAATGGCATCTTGAGGTATTCAAACTGACCTATTGGGGTAACAAAAATAGTGAGGTGAACAGAGCCTGGATCAATATCTACATGGTGGAAAGCATCCTTTAAATCTAACTTTGTGAAATACCTTTTATCGCGAAGTCTCTCTATCTGTATGTATTCCGACTCTTTCCAATTCAACCTTACCCTGATTTACTGAAAATTTAACATCCTTATGACAAAGAAAATCCCTACCAATTAGGCAATCATCTGACATTGAGTTTTCTGGTATTACATAAAAAAGAATATTCAAAATCACTTTGTCAATCTCTGTGGCACCATTGACTGAACCTAAGATTGTAATTTTACTATTATTCATACCCGAAAAATTAACGCTTTCATCAACAGGTTCAATCAAGCTACTTTCAACACAGTTTGGCTTTAAAAATGAAACTGGACTGCCTAAATCTAAAAATGAGTTTAAAATTAGGTACTTATCTGAATTTTCAAAATACAATTTAGTTGGTACATGGCATGCTGGAGTTATTGGTCGTGTATCAACTCTGTGTGTGGTGAAATCAGCTGTAGACTGTTGTGGCCTTGGCTTTTTCTTAGGACAATCTCGAACTATGTGCTCTTTCGATCCACATTCGAAACAGGAACGTGGCTCGCGTTTTGGTTTTCTGCATTCAGTTTCTTTATGTGCAATTATATTGCAATTGTAACACCTGGGTTGGAATCTTATGCTCTGCTGGGGTCTTCTGTCATAACTGCTGCTGGTAGGCTGCGTACGAGTAAAAATTAACATTAAAAGTAACATTTTTCATGGTTGCTAACAAATCAGGTAGTGTATTAACTTTTCATACGGGCCTACGACTGTAACGTTGAATCGTTGAATCCATCAATCACATAATCAATTATTTCTTCATCTGATAGTCCTATCTTCTTACATAAATTGACTATCAGAGAACTTTTCACTTTTTTTCCACTTCCGGGCCTCCATTGTGCGTGTGAGCATCACTTTGCTTGGTCTGCTCTCGAACATTTTTATCATCTCAATTTTAAGGTCAATCCATCGTAATGTACTCTATTTTTGAATTAAATCATTGGTGAGCTTATCCTGTGAGTTTTCCCATAGCAATTAGTTGCATTTGTTCATCTTGGACACCATAAGTTACTTGAACAGCATCAACTCGATGTATCCATTGTGCTACGTCATCCTCGTGGCCACTGTACGTCGGTAGCAGTGCAGCAATTTCGTTGTTCTTAAAACGTAGGGCAGGTGGTTCGGCCGAAACTGCTTGATTTGGGGTGGCCATTGCCGTGACTTGTTGCTGGGTCAACAGTGCTCTTACCGTGAGAGCAACAATATCATCTACGCTTAGGGCCTGCTGTTCTGTGTGTTGTGAGGACGCCTGAGGAACAGGGGATTCCGTGTTTGAGCGTTGACCGTTCATTTTTCTTATTAAAATTGTTGTTTTCCAAATATATCACTTCTTACGTAATCACTGAGTTTATTAGGCATTATCCCACTTCTGAAAACTGTAGGATGACTTCTTGGTTGGCAAATAAAATCAGTTTTTCTTATTTTCCACGTTCTTCATTGATGTAACCTTAAGACTACTTTTTGTTTCTAACTCTTCTTCTTCTTCTTTCATTCTTGCCAACTACGTATTACCAACCTATTTTACTTAAATAAGGCAGGAGATTCAAAAATATATCTCACAAGTTTGTTATTCTAGTAAATATGTCTATTGTAAATTTGCTTATGTAGTAGGTTGGTGAATTTATAAAACTAACTATGGGTCTGACTGGGTAGTTGTCTTTGTGTAGTTTTATTACACGTATAGTTTTGGTGTTTGATGATTCATTGGGACTAAAGGTTTGAATGACGTTTTATATAGGTCGATAGTATCTTTGCATGTTTTGATTATTTCTTTGGTTTTTGCTATAAATGAGTTTGTCGGGTTTTTGTTAAGTTGTTGGTTATGAGAAATTGTTCTGTTTTTTGGATATAGTCTTATGTGTTCATTAGTACAATTCCTGCGTTTTTATCAGCATTTGTTAAGGTAATGTTTCCTTTTTTCATGCGTTCTTTTAACTTTTTCAAGGTTTTTTGTTCAGTTGAAGTAGAGTGATTAATTGTGTTGGTTTTTCTGTTTAATTTTCTGTTTTTTAGAATTTGGAGACATTCTCCTCTTATTTCTAAGTCTTGTTTGTGGCCTCTTATTGCTGCGTCTATTTCTATACTTAGACTGTCTAGTTTGAGTTGGGTTGGGTTGAGTTGTGTCTATTACAAAATGGACACAAATACGCAGTCCAGTTAGTTCCCCAAAATGCCATATTAAATTATCATTATTGAAAAAATCGGGAAATTTGTCCCGTACTTCTCTAATTGTGGGCGTTTGTTATTGATTATTAATAAATAATCTTTGTTCTGTATAATTTTTTTGTAATATATTTATTTCATTGCTTTCTGTATGTATTGGAGGGTCGGGCTGCCAATTTGAACAACCCGCTTTGGAATTTGTTGTATGTTTAATTTTTTTTGTAAGGAATTTTAGGCTGTTTAATGTTTCTCTTATAGGGTCTATTGAGATACTGGTTTCTATCCTGCAATTTTAAAAATGTAGAGTGGCAACCATCTCCCAAAACAACCCTATCCACATCTACGTCCTTAAACGATCTGGATATGCCTCTATCAGTTTAAATGCTACAATATTTCACAACCCCACCCCATTGAGCAAAATAAAGCACTTGATGTGATGATATTTGTTATTTTCCTCATTGCATTTACAACTGTATAAATGACTTGGACTTTAACAGTTTTTTCCTTACTTCCTTCTTTTAAATGTTTCCCAGCTTTCATAGTTTATTAATTTTGTTGATGGGATATTCGTAATTTCATTAGTATATTAGTAATATCAATTTTACTAAATCTTTGCTTTCGTCACCACTATGGGTATTACTTTCGACATCACTATGGCTCACAATTGAAGAACTACTTTCTAGTAAGTCTAGCTTTGGCTCCCACACTTCATCCTTTTCTAACAACATGAGGTTTTCTTTCTGAAGAAACAATAAAATTTCATCGTTATTTGGTACATTGGTCCCATCGCTCTCTCTAACCAGACTCCTTTTTTGTGTAATTTTATATTAGCTAAAATAACCGTATTTAAAAAATAATAAAGTTTATGTTTCAAAACTTACCATTTAAGATTAATTCTTGGTATATGTTGGATTCGTTTTTTATTAAAACAAATTCTTTCATTAAGCGTAAGTTGTCCCATACTGTATAAATTGGCATTTCGATCTGCAGATACCATCACGTTGGTAATTTAATATCAAAGTTTCCCAAAACAAATACAATAAACAGTAATTTTTACCTATATTTTATATTTATATTATTGTATTATAATGGACTCCCCGATATGACGGGTGAATTATGAAAAAACGGTTCAAGTTAAAAGAAAAAGGGTTTTATTTTCAAAAAGTACAATTCATGCCATTTTTTTTATTTAAGTTTTAAAAATTATATCGTCCAAGTGGCGACCTTCACGGGCGATACACATATTAAGCCGTTCGACAAAGTTTTCGGCCACTTTCGCCAGCATATTTTGTGGAATTTCGGAGATTACATTCTCAATTACCTCCTTTAGGGTTTCCAGGGTCCGAGGTCGAAATTTGTAAACCTCAGCTTTGAAAATTTTGCTTGTTTACTGTGCCGCAAAGATGAAAATGCGCCTCGTCGCTAGTCCACACAATAGCGCCAGGAGGTAGGGCTGTTAGGATTGCATTGCAAGCATCTCTACGCTGTACGCAATCTTGTGGGCTTAATTCCTGAGCAACCATAAGCTTGTAGGGGTGTAATTTAAGGTCTGTGTGTAAAATTCGCCTTACTGTTCTCGACGATATTCTAAGGGCAGAGGCATGTTTTCGCGCAGAACGCGTTGGAGACTGTTCGATAGACCGTCTTACTGCCTCGATGGTTTCGGGAGTTCTTACACTTTTAGGTCGCCCTGTAGGTTTTTTAGGAATTGCAGAACCCGTCGTCCTTACATAACTGATCCATTTTCGAATGGTTTTAGGGTCAGGAACACTGTCGTGACGATTTAATCCAAACCGTCTGCGAAAGGCCCTCTGCGCCGCCACCACACTTTCGTTGTTTTTAAAGAAGGTCTCCACAACAAAGCCCCGTTGCTCACCCGACCACCTCATGGTGACTACTAAAAATGGCGTTGTTTCCCCTACCTAACGGCACCTGCCCCACTTCTTTACCTGGTCTAGCGCCTCTTCAGTGAATTTTTAAATCTAGGGACTCCATTATGCCCCACCCTGTATATATTATTTTATATAAAAATATTTATTTTTTAATATTTAATACAATATTTAACTAATGCCTTAAGTCATACAATAAAAATAAGTTTATTTATCATATTTGATACATACAAGTACAGGTATATATTTATTTTAAAATAACAAATATTTAACCAGTATCCTTAATACATTAATAATATAAATAATACATACTATTTTTACTTTGCAAACAAACAATGCATTTGTAAAAATTAATAAATTAAAATAATAATCTAAATAAGTTTTTGAAACATTACGATTTTTAAGATGTGTCATTTTTCTTGTATACCTACATTTATTTCTATATAACAATCCCATTTTACCTCTAAAATACAAAAAAGGACCGTTCAAAAATTACGTCGCGCTGTTAAGGGGGAGGGGGGGTCCATGAAAAAGTAACAAATTTGGACATAGGGGGAGGGGGTTACATCAACAGTTGCGTAACGTTCACTTATTGCTAATAGAATTTATTTTAAATTAAACATGACAGCATGTGACGAGGGGAATCTTTCTTTTTTAAATATTTCAACACCATCCGCTTTTATTTTTGAACGGTATAAATTACTTAAGCATTGACCGCTATTTTGCAACTAATTTTTTTTATAGTGACAATAAAACATTTTTAAAGTTTGGACAATGTCTGATAATTTTTTTTAAAAATCCATGTTTACTCTCAAACCTCATAGTCCATAAGTTTCTTAATGGTCCGAACAGTTTAATTAAATATGGGTAATGAATAATAAAATGGAGTTTTAATTTTTTATCAGGAAATAATCTTGTTCTTTTTAAGTTTTAATCAAAAATAAGATCTTTGTTAGCTTACTGATCTTCGGATAATTTAAAAGTCATTATAATATTGCAAATGTTTCTTAAACAAATAAATAAATTCCAGTTTTTATTATTTTGTAAAAATTCGTTATATTCATAAAGAGCAAATGGAAGTATATTAATTAGATATAACATTTGACTTGCACTACCCGATATTTTTTTGCTACCCATGTCCGGCAAGGATAATTTGTCAGATTTTATGTAAAAATTAATATTCTTAATCTCAAAATTTTTGTACCCTGAAATTTTTTTTTTTATTAAATTTTAATCATATTATGCAATACCTTCAAATAAATCATGAGCAATACAAGGGGGCATGCCAGGAGTACAAATATTATAAAAATTAAGTTCATTTAAAATTGTTTAGGATTTGACACCTTTAAATATTTTATTTAAAGAGAGAGCATTGTCGACATCAAGATCATGATTATTGGGATTCCTATATACCTTATAACCCTTACTAAAATTTAAAAAATTATTTTCGTCTGTTTTAAAAGATTCAATAAAACCTTCAATTTGATGGCAGCCTAACCGCTATAAGTGAAACTTTAATAACAATATTTTAAATAAGAAAACCCTCCGTTTCTATTTTTTAATATTGTCACGAAATAAGAAAATATTATTTATTGATTTATTAATTTTACTTTACTTAGTTTAAAAACAATTTTCTTTAATTCTCCCATATCCATCGTCGTTGGGGCAATAAGGTAATAGGACTCGTAGTACAAGGGGTGTAGGCCATTTTCGAAGGTGTCAAAAGCCATTTGAGGGTTAACTTCTTCGGCAAGGTGTTGTAGTTCGAAGAAATAGCTTTTGATGTTTTCGTTTTCGCCTTGTTTTTTCGAATTAAATTTTATTTTTTCTGCTCTCACAAAATTTTCTCCTCCAAATTCTTCTAAAAAGTCTTTTTTCAAATTTTTCCAATTTTTCTCTCTATTTTCTTGACTGGTGACGTATTTTGTATACCATGTAATGGCCGCTCCTTCCATAAATGATCCTAGATAATTTATTTTATGTATCACTTCATCCGTTAATTTGGAAACATCTTTCGTAGTTTTTCATAAAGATTATGGCGTTGGTCGTCGTCGTGTTGAATGTTGTGGGGGCAATAAACTTCGGGACTGCAGGTGTTCTTCCGGTCAGGATTATCTTGTATCTCAGTTGCTTGGGAAAAAGGTAAGGATATATCTTCAGAAGGACTTAAAATTGAAAGATTTTGTAAACGACTTAAAAGGTTTTGGATACGGGCTTCTACGTTGTCGTCTTCTTCTTTTTCGGATTGATTTTCGTCGGGATTTGACTTTTCTTCTCTGTTTTCTTCTTCTGCGTTGAAAGTTTGGTTATTAAAGTCTTCTGAGTCTTCTATATTAAATGTTGAGTTTTGGATTTCTTCTTCTGATTTTTCTTCGCTGTTTTCAGTGTGTTTTTCGGGTATTATAGGTTCTTTCGGTGGTCGTATAAAATATCTTGTTTGTTTCGGTTCGGTGCCAGTCGGTGATCGTGGTAACGTTGAGGAGGGTTCGAAGATGGATTTTTCCGTGCTGCGATGTGATGGGTTGAATGTCAATTTTCCCAAAAGCTTCTTGCGTGACATTAAATTTAACTAACGCCGACCTTCTTTTTCTTAGAGTTCCCAAATAGATTCAGCGAGCATTCGGTCAATCCTGGGTACCGATGCATTCTCTATTCAGGAAGTCTTCTATAAATAGATACAGCGAGTATTCGGCCAATCCTGGATACCGATACTTTCTCTATTCATAGTGATGGTACAAGATCGTTGGCGCCTCCACCATGTGACGATTGGGGTGGAGGCGCCGGGTTAAAGGCCAAACTTACATTATAACGGCTTTATTTCTGAATGAATCAACATTTCAAGCAATATGGGTTTATATACAAAACTAGAACACTAGGTCATATACACGAGAAATACATTTTTGCTGATTATAGCAAGATTGCAATTCTCACAATAAATTTCCACGTAAATCTACTTGAGAATCAATTAGTCTGCAATAATCTGAAACTTTCCTGTTGCTTTTATGTGGGAAAATAATTATTAATTTAAAGTAAAGTAAAATTAATAAATCAATAAATAATATTTTCTTATTTCGTGACAATATCATCAATTATAAGCCTAAACATTTTTAAAATATTAAAATATTTTGTGTCTTTTTCGTAAAATAAGGCAACTAACTGAATCTTCGCTCTAAAGCATGGTGGAAGATTACCAAATGTTATATAAACTCCAATAATCTTGTTTTTGTTTTTTGCACCCCCTAGAGGAATGCAAATTTCAAAAGAGTTTTGGTATAAAATTATTTGTACTAAATACTTATATGAGTTAAAGAATACACTGCTTTTAAATATATTTCCATCAAACAAATCCGCATAAATATTTTTATTTTTTTCATAACCTCTTTCAAAGAACATGTTAAATATCATTGGATTATTTAATAAATTTGCAAGTGTTTCTTTTATTGGTACATAATAAAAATAAGATTTTTTATTTTGAAAATTCAATTCAATTTTTTGGGGAGGTATATATTAAGAATTCTTTTTAAAATATTCTTGACGGCAGTAAGTTGTTCGCCTTGTGCCATCTAAAATATTATTTGCGCCGTAAAATATATTTTGTTTTAATTTTGCAATGCATTTTCATCTAATGTTCCATTATTTGAGCTGATAGTTTGTAAAACATACTTATTAATATCAAAAAGATATAAAACTATTGCCTGTATTGATGTGTTACTTAAGTTATACTTTGTTTCTATACTCAATAAAAAATTGGAATATAAATTTAAGCCAAGCTGTTTATAATCTGCATTCGAATCTGATATACTTGTAGTACTTGTAGAGGATTAATTTTCATCATTAGTTGTTTCGTTATTATCATAAAAAAGTGAATTTATATGTTCATTAGTTTTGCTTTCATAACTGATATCTGATAACTTCAAGTTATCAAAAGGTTTTAAAGAAATACAATTTTTAAAACGACAAGCCTTAGGTATTCCATTACGTAGGTGATTATAGCAATGTAAATAAATAGCAGCAAAATTATTTGTTTTATAGAAACAATTTCTTAATGAGCATGTAATATTTAATAGTTCTTGTTCTTGCTTAGGCTTTTTATGAATTCTTTGTATATGTGAGTGAAATGAGTAATAATTTGTACAAAAAGGACAAGAAAAAACATCGTTAAATAAATAAAAATTTCCAGATACTTACCGAATTTATAATAACAACATTTCTAAACCAACCACGTTATCTAATCACGTGTGGCGCCGTTGGAGTCTGTAAAGAAAGAGGGCTCAACCGGACGCGGCCCTCCAATATAACAATAAAGTAGTGGTGGTAGCGTCGCATTTACATGAACATGCTAGGAAAATTTAAATTTTTGTATGTACGTATACATACGAGTATATGTTTGTGAATTTACAAAAGTTTATGTAAATGTACGTTTATTTACAGAAAATAGTGTATTTGTTTGTGATATTACAATAATTTACATGTTTTTTGTAAACTTACTCCATTTTACATTAATGTACATGTAAATAAAATATTTACACGAATTTTGTTGGAATTATTAATATGAAAGGTATGGTAATTTATTGTGATACAGTGTACGATAAGGAAAACAAGGGACGCAAATTTAGAATTGCTTCCACTTTACTCAAAAGCGTTAAAAATTCTTCAAAGGTAAGATAGGTTTTTCCTACTACACGATTTAAATGTGTTTTAACTAAACGAATACCAGCTTACCAAATCCCTCCAAAATGGGGAGAATATGGGGGAATAAAATGCCAAGTTATTCTTTGCCTCGAAAATTGCTCTTTAATTGTGCCCCTGCATTCAAAAATCAATTTACCTAATTCTAATAATCCACCCTTTGCTCCCACGAAAGTAGTAGCATTTTTCTAGTGTAAATACTAGAGGGAACTCCCCTCCTCGCCACAAATCTGCACTGAGAGAAAAAATGTTATAGAATCATTCAAAACGATAATAATTCAAAGGGATTCAAATATGTTTTGGGGTCATTGGTGTGTCTCATTAAATTAATAGGTGTATAACAATTATATAATACATCTTTTTGAAACAACGTTGAGAAAGGCAATGAAATCAATAGATTTCTTTTTGTATAAAAGAGGGTACACTTTAAAATTATTTAA